TGTTCTATGAATACACAGTAGTGAGGAATTACATGTATTTGGCATGCTTTCACTGATGTGATTGTTGGGGTCTTTATTCTGTTTGCTAAAGGGGGAAGGCACTGATTTTGGAAAGCAAGGATAAACAGCATATTGTAGACATTTTTGTTTTTACTTTTGTCAAAGCACAATGAAGCCACACCGGGAGGCAAACAACTGCTTTCTTGATTTTATTTCAAAAGTACACAAGGTCACAAAACTAGAGCAAGTTTTTGTTTTTTAAAACAAATTTTGTTTTTACAAATTTCAAAATCTGCACCATCGGATACTAAATCCAGAAACTTTAAATACAAAGTCATTTTTGAAGCTGACACTATTCATTCTGGTATATGTTAAGTGTTGAAATATCAGAAGTACAAGTGTATTTCTCTCAAAAAATTTAATTAGGGATGAGAAAAAGTAAATAAATGAATTGTGGTTCCCTTAAGACTTGTGTCATTAAATAAACTAGTAGAAAACACAAGAGTTCTTCCTCTCTTGAGCTGAACTTTTAGTGTTCACGACCAAATTCAAACCTAAAGATATTCATCACAAAACAGGGGTTTCTAAAAAGCTGGTTTTTAAATAAGAAGCCAGACACAGTGAATATGTCCTAGTATTACCATCCATAAAACAAAACAGAACCACAATTCACAAATTGTATCATTCTTCCCTTCATCTATAACATTTATAACTAGGATTTGTGCTCAGTTGTTAAACGTGTCAAAACAGGCAAATGAATAAAAATCCCAGCTGCAGAATGTCGCCTTTATTGCAAGAATATTCAAAGGCATTTGAAGTATTAAAACTTGCCCAGAACATGTATACTACAAAATACAGGAATATTATAAAGATGTAGGTACATACATAATATATGTCACAAGCCACTAAAAAGTTAAAATTGTGCCAACATTTTCTACAAACTACTTCTAAGTGACGCATCAAAACATTGACCACATAAAATATGGACGAATAAGGCATCTGAAAAAAGCCCTAGACACTGTTGAGATGAAGAGATTAGGGGAAAAAAAAAAACTCTAAATGTCCACATAACTTCAAATTGACATGCTGCACACACAAAAGAATCAGAGAATAGTTATTTGAAGAAGATATATATTACAGAATTTGATACTGAACTTCATGCAACCAGTTATTTTTATATTTAACCAATATGTTTTACCTGCCCCTTCACTAGCTCCAAATTTCCACAACCCAATCTCTTAATTTAAAATCCTTTTAGTGAAATCAGCTATTTCTTCATATCCACAGTTTAACTGCATTTCTTCAATTAACTTCCCTATCAGACACAGACAGGCAGTGTTCTTGTTGCAACAACTCCATGGCAATTAGCCCCAATTTAAATGGAATAATTTTTATGGAAGAACTAGTTGGTGTAATGGAGAACAGGTTTTGTTTTAGTTTTTGCCTTCTAACGGGAATATTAATAAAATTGTCAATAAGAAAAAGAACACCTGTTGCAAACCTATTGTCACTTATCTCAATTTTCAAAAAGATACAGTGAACAACATATTCAACAGTCAGTGTTCTATAACTTTATAGTAGCATTTCTTTTCAATGTAACTGCTTTTCACACTAGGCTGCCTCACTCAAAACCATGGTGTCAAGTGTGAAAGTGACAGCTTCCATGATGCCACGCCATCTTGCTGGCTGTTGTTTGGCTTGAATAATTACATATTCAACGGCTCGATGATTAACAATAGTAATTCTATAACAATTATTTGACCTCTGGTTTAACTAAAATCATCACTGAGAAATTGGGAAGTTACCAATACTATTTGACCTCTGGATTAACTTAATTTTTTTTTTCTTTTTTACCACTGGAATTGATTTAATATATTCTTTTTTTTTTTCATTATTATTATAACAGTTTGGATTAACTTAAATTTATAATGAGAATTGCTGGGAGATAGCCTAAAATTGAATTCTGTCTTCTAAATTTAGTGGCACCGTTCAGGTGACAGGAATGACTTTTTTTTTTTTAACCTGATCCCTTCTCAGACTATAGTTGGTATGGAACTGAACTGAAAGCATTTTGGGAAGAGATTCTAATTTACTTATACCTGACTCCCAGATTATGAAGTCTAAGGAAAGAAAAATCTTACACATTTCCAGCCTCTCCATTATATCAAAACTGAGACTAGGAAGGACTGAAACTTTTTTATTCACATTTGTGCTATTACTTTTGATAATATAAATAAACTTTTGTTAATATAAAACAGAGTTGTGACACTCAAAAATAGCTACTGTTATAAAATCAGAAACACATCAAGAGTGCTAGGGATGTGGAAATTTTTATCTGTATGAATAGCAGTCAATTAAGTTGCATCCATAAAGGAACAGAGAAGAGGTCAGACAGAGAGTATGAGGATAAAGAGGTGTCACAGTGATACATTTAGAGAACAGTACCTTCACCTCTAAGCACCTGTCAGGTGATAGCTAGTTCATAGGCACCAGAAATTCATAATAAAAATGAAATTACCCCAAAGGCACAGATGAAAATGTTAACACAAGTATAAAAAGCAGTATTATGAAAGGTTAAAACCTATATTTAAAATGCTTCCAAATATGTAAAACTATACACTAATCCATTACACATTCTGCTTAAATTTACCATTAAATTGTACACAATACTCTGCCTAGCTATAAACTCATGCCAACATTGATTTATAATTCAGGACTGCCCACCACGGCCCCCGAAGAAATGAACAGAAACCAGCTCCCTACTAAAATCTAGGGAAAAGGTTTTCGAGCTAGTGAAATAATTTATTGCAGACCTTACATACGATAAAGAAACTGTTGGCTCATTCTACTATATCCACACTCCCTCACAATCTTAAGGGAAGTAACAATAAACTCACTTTCTTCTACAAAAACAATATTTAACACATTTGGCAGTTAGGAGTACACCACTCCTTTCCTTTCATTTTTTAAAAAGAATATTCACTTTCACAAAATGAAGACTCAAACTTCAAAGCTCAAATTTCTTTTCTGCATCTACACAAAAACATGTTGGCATAAATAGCAACTGTACATCCTCCCCAAGTCTGAGACATGGTACTGGGGGGGACATGTACTAGCTTAAAATCTATTTCATTATTCTTAGTCTACGAAGAAAATATTCTCCAGGAACTGCATTCAAGTGGGCTTATTTTAGATTACATTGTTTCTAGAATATATAATATGCAATACCCTCCAAAACATGAAAGCCAAAAGTAAAAGACACTTCAAACTAGGGAGAAAACTTTGGAACCCATAAGTCATGAATGTTGATCTATAATGGTCAATAAATGAGCTGTAACTTTTTCTCATTAGAAAAATACCGCAGAAGGTGGACAGCCCGCAGTTAGACGGGAAACACAAAACACTACCGCCTTGATCTGGCTGCTCACTGGTCTGAAGACACCCACAAGTCTGCGGCTTCAGGTACTCACTCTAGGGAAATCCACCCCTGCTATCTCACTTCTAGTGTCACTGCGGTAGCTGACGAGAAAATTGTTAAGCGAATCTTATAGATGCTAGTAATTTTGCAGGTTAAGAGTTTACTATGTAATTGGTGCCTGCAGTGTGTCTATCAATGAAAGACTTAAAACTCAATACATAGACAAGGTTATGAATGACTCAAAAGTAAAACTCGTCATTTCTAGAATACTGTGTATTTTCTATAATACAAATTGCAAACATATTTAGAGTTGTCAAAGATGCCATAAAAATAACAAACATCAATTTATACAAACATTTTTGCCATTAATGCTTCTTTACCAATTTGGGGGAAGGGGTTAATGGGTCATAAGTTAAGAAATGCATACTAAAATAATAAGAGAAATTATAAAGTACCACTTTCAGATGATTCAAGTATCAACTGGGTATGCATATAAGTTCATCAACTTCTTCATCTATTATTTCATATTCAAAGTGAAATAATATTCAAAGTGCTACATTCTTAAGTATTGATATTTAGAAACCTATAAAAGTCAACCTTTTAAAGGATATCTTTTTCCAGTAGTGAATTGACTTTACAAATTGAATGCCTTTACTATTCCAGTACAACCAAACAAAATGTTTTTGAAGCGTATTTCTTACAGTTGGTGGTTAACTTTTCTTTTTGCTGTAATTTTAGACTAGTAATAAAATTTTGACAGAGTGGGTTTTCTTTCCAGAGAAACGAAAGGAGGAGAGCACAGTTGTAGTTGCGGAGCTCTATACTATAGACCCGTCCTTGCTCTGTGCTGGAATCATCACCGGCACCGCTCCCATCCTACTTAGATTCGGCGCAGCTACCTTAGCAGGTGGGAGAGTTGGGCTCTGAGGAGCGCGTTCAAAGTCTTCACTCGGTACTTGGTAATACTGAGTCTTAGAATATCCTTCCATATTGGAAGGTGACATGGACCCCAGGGATGAGTGGTTGCTGTCGATGTAGCTTCTGGCAGTGGAAGTGCGACTCTTTGGGGGCGGCACATCTTCCCTAAGAAAGCAAACACCCCAAAACAAGTTCAAGAAACAGTTTTCTACAAAAGTACAACTACACACTAGCTATGAATCAAGTGGTGGTGAGGGACGGACCCTCTATTTACGTATAAGTACAGAAAAGCGCATGTGTCCCCGCCCCCCAAAAAAGAATGCATATAGGGTGTAACATTGTAGGAAGGAGGAGCTGTGTATCTGTGGCCAATTTATGACTTATGGGGTATATAATGAAATATGGTTTTTGCGAAACACGTTATGATTCTACAAGGCTGTCTGACAAGGAACAAAGCTCAAATATTAACTATACTGCTATCACTGACCAAGATTATCTAGTTTTTGTCATGTGACACTTCAGAGCTGCAAACATGAAAAACCACAGTATTTTTCTACCAAAAAACCCTTTTTGTTATGGACGTTCTCTTGACACCTTTGCTGCAAACATTTAAGTTGGCATAAAATGGGAATTTGGGCATAAAAATTTTCACACCAAACATGGACAAAGACTATGTATGTGCCTGCGTTATCGCTAGTGCATTAAAAAAACAACACACACACACAAGTGTCCAGGCCCAAAATGTTAATTTCCTGGGTTTTATTTATTTGTTATTTTATTTTTAAAGGTTCTAAAATCCGATGTGCAATGCTAGTTTTTTTTTACACATGCAATAGTTATTATTATTAGTAGTAGTTTTATTTTTACATCATTTTGTGCCTTTTTCCATCTCAGCTTCCCACCACCAATTCACCCGTGTGCCATCACCATAGTCCAGTGCACTCCCCCACCCCATTTTTGATTTCCCACTCCACCCCTGTAAAATGTCTCTGATATATAGTTGTTCGTTATTATTATCCCCTCACCCTCCACCCTGGTCCTTTATGCTCCTGCGATGAGTGAAACCACCCGGTATTTTTCTTTTTCTTTCCGGCTTATTTCACTAAGCATGATCCCTTCCAGCTCCACCCATGTTGCTGCAAAAGGCAGGAGTTTAGCACTGCTAGTTATTTTTTTAAAACAAAAATTAAGATGGATGTTAGCTGAACCTGCTATAATCACTTTCACACACATTAATCAAATAATTATGTTTGTAAACCTCACAGTGATGTAATGATGTATGTCAATTTTTCTCACAACTAGAAAGACACATAGAAATCACATTATCAATAGTGCCATAAACTACCTATGTCACTTGATACCATCAGGTCTTTTTTAAACAAAACCAAAATAGAAAACAACCCTCAACATCTCCTGTTTTTAAAACCCTCATGCCTGTATTTTATTGGGAGTAGTTTGAGGTAAGCATTTTACAGTGTTTTTTAATGTAGGATCCAGTAAACAGACACATGTGGGTGTGTGGGGTGGGGTAGACTTCAAACTGAAACTAGTTGCAACAAAGCAAATGCTATCAAATGTGTATGTGGAAGAGAAGAACTGTATCTTATCCAATTCTCATGGATGTGAAAATGAATACTTTAGAAATATAATAGACGTAATACACATCAGTCAACTCTGGTGTCACTTAATTACCTGATATCATGATGAACTTCTTTTTCATATTTTTCTTCTCTGCGCTTTTTACGACAACAAAAGACGATTAGACCAATGAGCACTAGAGCAAGTAAAGTTCCTATAACAGCTCCTGCAATTGTTCCAGCTCTATTCGAAGCTAGAATAAAATGCAATAAATTAAGTCTAAATTCAGTCATACCAAAAGCAAGGATAGACATTAAATTGATTGCATTTAATACAATAATGGCAAGAAAGAAATTAGTTAGCTTTTTCTTTCTGATCCAGGGGTAAATCTATTAAAACTTTTCTCTAAATCATACAATCTACAGGCATACGTTATTTTATTGCAATTTGCTTACTCCACGTCTCAAGTACTACATGGCTTTTAAACAAACTGAGGGGTTGAGGGAGCCCTTTGTCAGTAAGTCTACAAGCACCGGTTTCCAACAGCATATGCAGCATAAAGCGTCTTTAAATGAAGGTATTTACAGTGTTATTTTCGACATAATGCTTTACTGCACTTATGACTGTACGGAAACTTTTATGTTCCTACTATACAGAAAACATAGCTTTGATGTTTCGATTTGGACTGGGAAATCAAAATATTCTTGTGACTTATCACAGTGATATCTACTTTATTGTATAGTCTGAAACCAACCCTGACATAATCTCCAAGTTGTGCCTGTATTTCAAGCATGAACATTATAAACCTAGACTGAAAAGTCTTAATATTCATAGCTCTGGGGGAGAGGGAAAGTAAACATTGTTGTAAAATGGCCAAGAATATAAACATATATATATATATATATATATATATATATAAATTCATAGCTCTCTTGGATAGCCTACAAGAATGCTCTACATAGCTTATACTTATGATGGTTACTTTTTTAATGATGCAACAAAGAATTTTCCAACAAAATATAATTATTTTTTTCCCTTTTTATGACTTAAAAAAGTTAATACCAAGTCACAGTTCGCATCTGTAACTAGCTCTGCTCAGGCAGCATCACCTTGCCCTCGAAACACACTGATGGACTGACCTCGCAGAGTCTGAAGAGAAAGGACACAAACATTCTCACAGGCCAGGGGAGATACTCACGGGGAACAACATCCAGGTGGAGCTGGCATTCGTCAGACCCCACTCTGTTTTTGACTGTACAGCTGTATATTCCAGAGTACTCAGTAGTGGCATTTTTTACAGATATAACTGGCGAATTCATATCTGTGGAGGAAAATTGTTTAGTAAAGTTAAGCCCTGCTGATAGCAACAATACACGTAAAAGCAAAGCACACTGAGATTGGGCGCAAAACCAACTGACAGAAGCCACATGTTCGTGTGTGTCAAGGCACAGCGTCACCATGATCTTCAGCCAGGCACAGCGACGCCCACCTGAAGCAGTCACAATGGCAATAAAAACAAAAAAACAAAAACAAAACCACTCTATGCCACAAAGGTTTTTTGGTACAGCAGATACCCAGCAGATAAAGGGGAAATAATCCAAAAGCATTGGCCCTTTGTTTGAAAAAAGGAAGGGAGGCAGGAAGCAATCCTTCTAGGACCAATCTGGGGAGGGTGGAGCGTGACAAGAAGTTTGAATAACAGGTCACTTGTAACAAATGGTAAAAGATCAGATTTAACCAACTTGTAGCTTCCTATTTAGTGTGACATGACTGTTTTTCTTTTTCCATCCATAATAGGTAAATTATCACATCTTCAACAAACCCAAGTAAAACGTTCAAGCTCCAACTCTTACTATCTAGTTTATAATCATGAATGTTTCTAATAGTCCATCCATCAACTAAAAATGCATATCAAAGAAGCCAATTAAAATATCTTAGCTAAATCATTTTAAAATTATGTCTTCATTATACTATGTGAAACTAAGTCATTACAAAACAATAACTAATTCCCATGGAATCCTAATTGTTCTGCAAAGAAAAGTCAGTGCTTGGAAATAAAATACCATCACAACACCAACCCTCCTAGATCTAATCCTGCTAGACAATGCATGAACAATCAGCAGAAATGGCAGTACCTGCTAGCCACGACGCAGGCAGCTTCTGTGAGTTAGACACTTTTTGCCACTCATATCGTAATGGAAGTGAACCTTCTTGTGGTTCACATTTTAGTTTAAAGTCATTTCCAATTTCTTCTAATCCATCAATGTAACACTTTGTGCCTGAAGGCTTAACTGAAAAAAAAGAAATAAATAATTTTACGGGAAAGAGGAAAATTTAAGTTTAGAACAGTAACTTAAACACACAGCATGCTACACGACCACCGAGTCATCATCAGGTGGTTCTGGGCTCAGAGTTGACGAGACCGAGAGACTGGTTGACACCATTTGCTTGGCTTTAGCCGACACAAAACAAGCAAGGATGAGCTCAGGCAAGCAGCCACTGCATAAGGAAGCTGGGCAGCATCTGAGGCGAGGCTTGCACCCCTCCATTCCAGGGGGCACACCTGAAGAAAGCAAGGATGATGCAGGCTGGGCCACTTCAGACTCAAGGAAGAGCAGCCCCTCCATTCCTTACCTATTCTCCTACTCGGTGCTGGACCTGCAGCCCGCTGGGAGAATGTGCCATGTCACATCCCTCTGGGCGCCGTTACCCCATCGGGGGTTTATAATAACAAACGCTGCTAACAGGGACAATTGGCTTAGTGCGGCAAGGACCAAGTAGCAGTCTATAGTTACATTAACCCAAAACCCCCCAGAGAGCACTGTTATAAAAAAGTAATTCAGATTATAGCCCATGTCTCTCTGGGTAACTGTTTAGAACAGCTGTTAACACCGTTATGGGCAACTCACCCCGGCTCTGTATTAATACCTTATCATGTCACCCCTCCCTGCGGAGCTCTATTAAGGCATAAGACACAAAAAATAAAATAAATTAATTGCATGAGTTGATAGCTTTCAACAAAACCTTGCATATAGGATTCATCTGTACTACAGTCACTGATCCTGTTGGAAGCACATGCCTGTTAGGAACCGCTCCAGTCCGCTCCAAGCTCATGTTGGATGCTGAAGCTTCACGCCATGTCCCAGGCAGCCACTGAAGTGACATCTATCACTACAGATTAGTCCTACTTTTCTATAAATACTACAAGATCATCTGCTTTTTCTGTCTTATCTGCCCACAGTAAAGCTTCTGAGATTGATCCGTACTGAACACATCAGTAGTTCATGCTTTTTTATTGCTCGGTTGTATTCCAGTGACTAACGCATATATTTGCTCATCTTTTCCTCTACTGGTGAACCCTATTTTGACTGCTCTTAAGGAAGAGTCCCATCAAGCAGACGCAGGTATGTAGTCTGTCAATGCAGACTGATCAATGAGGACGCTGTGACTACCATGGAGGCCAGTGGACAAGAGCCAAGATTGAGGAGGAGATTCCGAAGGCTTCTGAAGAGTCCAAGAGATCAATTCTAAATCAGCTGCTGCAACTTGCGAAGGGATTAGAAGCCGGGATAAAATGGAGGTGAGTCATCCAGCACCGAGTGTGCCAGCAAAGAGGGAGTAGACCAAGTTGCCTGGGTTGGTCTGGGGAGACAGCAATGTTCTGTTTACTGCTGCACCACAACCTTGGGAGGAACAATGTTTCCTTGTAAAATGTGTCCAGTTTCATCTGTTTTGTCCTGAATAGATGCAGCCCAATAATGGCAGACATTCTTTGTTTTTGGTTGAGCTGGTTTTCAATCGTTCAGTCCCAGATGAGCTTGCAATATTGTTCTGCTATGAACAAATACATATGGGCTTAGTTCTGCACACTGAGCAGCACTGCTTGAACACTGAGGTAAATATTGGGATGTTTCTCTAGCTCTTGTTTAACTGCTTGGTAAAGATGGTTAATGTATAACTCTATAAGGAATTGTCAAACTATTTTGACTGTTTTCTGAAGTTGGCCAACAAGATCTGTCATATTCAGTGGGGCATCTTTAAAGTTGTCAATCATGATTCATTTCTTCAAACATTTCTTGATACTTCTTCACAAATTTGATTACATTTCACCCCCTCATCTGTGCTACTTGTACTTTTCAGTAAGGACTCAACAGATGCATTTAATTTCATTGTTGATTTTCCTAAGCAAATCTGTTCTTTTTTTTTTTTTTCCTGGACTGATCAGTTATCTTAGAGATGACATCATTTAGACTTTTAAATAAGTTTGTGAATCCCTTCACCCTGTCTCTTTTCACTGAAATTAGTCTTATTCTTCATTTTCCAAACTACCAATAAATCCTTTCGGACATAAACTAGCCACTGGTAACAATCCTAACCATTGTCATCCTTACTGCTGAAAATATCCCTTTCCCAAACAACAAATATAGCCAATAACAGGCAGTTACTTAAAGCTGCTGCTCAGGAAAGGGAGCCCAGATGAGTCTGAGATTTCAGCATACCTCCATCCACAACAGAAGAGGACTCTGCCAACACTGGTCTTTGAGTAGTATTCCGGAGTAGCCTGCCTGCTTCCCAGTGAGAGGAGAAAGTACACGTCTGTTGCCCAACCCCTACCACCACACAACAGGGGCAATTAACTCTGAATCCACAGCACTCTTGCTACATCATGAGAATGATAAGACCAAAGAGGCAATACAGGTCAAGTCTTGTCCCCTGTTTCTTTGGTCTGGGGGTCTGGAACACCTGGCTGTTATCTTCAGACTATCTGCCTCCAGGATCATAAATTAGAGCCAAAAGTCCTCCTCAGACACAGATACCTCATTGTCAACCTGTGCTGGGTTAGTGCCCCGCTAATGTAATGACACTGTGCTTCCCACATATTGCACCATAGTTCTCTCCTGCTGGTGTCTTGAGCTTACATTCTATTCCCTTATCTGGGGCAGGATAATATGTGGTTACATCATCCATCCTGGAATGATATAACTACTTGGTTCAAAAGACCCTGAGACTCAGGCAAAATCTCTCCACAGTTGCTAAAAATCTGTGGGCAAAAGTCTGAGGAGAAACATGATATTTGCATACTCTAAGTGTCTGCCACCCCCCCCCCAACTTTTTTAATTAGAAGAAGAAACAGAAATTGCATAGTAGAGAAACACACCAGAAAAAAAACCCAGGTGGTCCTAATCTTTAACATGCCTGGAGGAGACTAAGAAGATGTAAACTCAACATGGATCTCAGATCTGCCCCTTGCATCAAAAACACTAGTGAAAACCAGGCAATCCAATTATAGTCTGAAATTAGTTAGTAGTACTGGTCCAACATCAATGTCCAGGTTTTGGCAGGTGTACTATGAATTTGTAAAATATTAACATTAGGAGAAATTAGATGGTATATCCTCAGAAACTCTCTGCTATTACTGTAAAATTTGGAAACCACTAAAATTATTCAAAGAACCCCCCCCCCACACACACACACACACATACACTCCACCCCCCATGCCAACGGTTTATAAATCTCTCAGGCCTGAAAGGTATTAGTTAAGCCACCATACATGCTGCAGCTACAGTGTTCTGGTGAGGCAGGCGTAGTTGGTACTAGATTCATCCAAGTAATCTACTGAGCATGTTCCACTGTTCAAAACAACCAGTCTGCTTATAATGAAAGGTCTCCAAAATAGGCCTTTTCCAAGTTCTGGGGGACAGCATTAGTGATATCTGGCCACCACATTAACACTCCAGATAACAACTGTCTGTGTTATCACCACCCCCTTTTGGCTTCTTCACTGAACTGTATCCACATGCATTTTGGGGGGGTTTTGAGTCAGTGAGCAGGCTTCTGGCAAGGTGACAGGCTCTGGCAACATGTCCCCTTCACACCCAGGCACCTACATGTCCTTCTGTTCATTTCCACACAGCACAATGGAGAAACTCTCACCACAGTGACCACCATGATGGCATCTCCAGATTTCCCAGCAACAAATCAAAGCCTGAGACAGCCTATCATGAACCAACTGAAAGTGGACCACTCTGGCCCCTAGAGGGCATTTTATCTTTCCTAGATAATCTAAGCAAACATTCAGGCAAAGGCAACAGATATACTTCTTCAACTCTCACTTTTAAGAGAAAATTCTGGGTTTTTCTCAGCAGCAGTCATGACTCATCAGCATATAGGGAACAGAGAGTCACAAAAAGCCCCCTGGTTCTTAGAGAGCCTCGGCAGATCAGATTAGTCACCCCACTTCTCCCTTCTACAACCAGTTTTCCCTTTTTCCTCTTACGCCCACTCTCCCTTCTTCTCCCTTCTTCGTTTGAATTCAGAGATTGCTTAGTTGTGAAGATTCCTTCCTCCCCACCCCCCACCCCCACACACACATACACCCAGAGCTAAGAGAAGGAGCCACTGACCTGTGAGGCTTCTCATTTCCCCTCAGAAGAGCTAGACACTGGCTGGTGAGGTGGAATGTGAAAGGCCACTCCTGCCTGGCAGTAACAGCTGCAGCCGGGAGCAGACTCAGCACGAATGTGCCAACACTACACGTGTAGTAACTCAAGCCCAGTCTGGGCTCCACGCTGCCTCATGTACTGCTCCCTGCAGTCTGGACCTACAGAGTCAACCCAGAACCTGAGCCAGTCTCCTCCCCACATTCGCCTCGCTCATCCTCACACACACAAATTGTGCTTGTCCACAACTCCTCTGAGAATATATACCAATTATTTTCCTCCTAATTTATATGCTCCAGAGATTTCATAATAAATAATTCTGATAAACAGACATAGTTGGTACATCATGAAATAAAATTCCACACATATTTTAACTCACTGCTTCCAGGTTAGCAGAGCTGAAAGAAACAGTGATTATAATTCCAAATATGATTGGGTCGGGATAAGAGTTCCAAGAAATTATCAAATTTTTACTTGCTTGTACACGATAAGCTATCTGCATATTTCTTCAATATTGACACAGAAAGCAAGAATTCTCACCCTCACCACATTCCTTTTCCTGCTTCTTTGTTCAGGTTCACTTGCTTTCATATCACAGGAACATTCTGACCAAGTGCCTTAAGCGAAAAGCATCCTTTACAGGGACCAAGGTAACAGATTACCTTAGCAAATCTCTGAAGTTACCACTTCGAGGCACAAAAATCTACATTCTTGTTCCTAATCTCTATCAGCTCTGATAGCATCTACGGGAAAAAAGTAGTGGGCAAAGTTGAAAGTCTAAACCCAACTCACTCTTCTACTTCTCTATCCTCCCCCCTCATCAGTTCTCTAAAATATAAAGAATGAGGTAGAAGTTGATATTGCGGAGAGTGGCTTTGATTATTTTTCCAGGGGGTACACTAGACAATTCTAGCAATTAGCCATTCCTATGCCCGCCAAAAGAGAAGACCTTAGGTCACAAAATGGGAGTTTACATAACACAGGTGGACTGTTGTCTATGTCTACATGGGAGCAACTGTAGTTCTTTGAAATCCACCACAAGAGGATTTTACAAGTATATTTATGAACAACCACCCTTCAGAGTTTCTCAATCTGTAGGGTTTGAGTGCTTAAGCACAACCCAGAATCTATGGAAGAATAAAAACCTTGCAGTCTTTTGATAGTTTACAAAGCACTTCATACTATCGCCTTAGCAGTCACAGAAGGTACAGGGCAACTGAGAAACCATCACTCAAACCCCTCAACCTTAAATGAAAAACAGTGAAACTCAGGTAGTTAAATGGCTAGCAGAGGTCTAATGCCCTTATCCAACTCAACATTCCTCTTACTCTCAACTCATAAAATCCCATTCTTTGGTCAGTGTAGTTTGAAAATGCTTAGAGCACCCATAATACACAATTCTGAAATGACTGCAAACTGACAGAATAAATGGTAATCAAATTTCTTTTAATGTTTCAAAAAGCTAGGTTGAAGTCCAGGGTGAAGAAATTCTCTGGGGAAAAGCAAGAATAACACACACACACACAAAAAAAAATCTGGGTTCCTAGCTTCTGGCTTAAAGTTCCTCTTCCATTATTGCAAAACTCTTGTCTACTTTCAAACTCATAAATTTCACAAACTGGTCACTTATTTTCTCCATCCAGTAAAGTGTGCTCGGTTTCTAATTTATATTGAGGACTGTAGAATTCCTTCAAATATTTAAATTAGTCTAAGAAACTAAGCTTCGGGTTACATAAATGATTCCATAGAGCTGTGACCACTCACCCTAGTAATAAGGAACATGAATACAAATACCTTACCAAGAACTTTGAGCTGAAACTTCTTATTTCCAAGACCAGGAGCTTTTTTCACTTTGCACTGATAGGTACCGATATCTGACAACTGTAGATTTGTTACATTTATTGATGCATCACCAGATTTGAGATCACTGCTTGTAAAATGCACTCGTCCTTTCAGATTTTTGTAGTAGTCCTCATAAATTTTGTCTCCAGAATACAAAATAATCTAGAGGAAAACCAAATTAAGAGGAAGAAAACAAACTCTCATTAAAGTAGTAAACATTAGGGTACTGTGGGCTTTTTTTTTTTTTTTTAAAGATTTATTTATTTGTGCATACAGAGCTGGGGTACAGGCCAGAGGGTCAGGGGTGGTGAGAGGCTTCACCAGAGACAGAGTGGGGAGCAGAACAGGCAGATCGACGAAGTACACTGCTGAGGGGAGCAGCGGGCGGGTCAGGAGAGGTCTGCCACGCCATGTGGTCTCCTCCGGGGCAGGCGGGAATCGAACTCATGCGGAAGTGGCTCTAGCTTCTCAGTGCTGTGCTTTAACCCGCTGCGCCACCAGGGAGGGCCGGCTTTTTTTTTTTTAATGTAATAACATACTATCATGAGGAAACTTACAATTAAAACACAGATTAAGGAAAGGAAAGATCAATATGACCCTTAAGAATGGTCACAGAGTCTCACTTTAAACTGGGAAACAGACCACAAACAGGCCTGTATTTGTTGAAATTGAACAAGAACAGATTTGTCCCTGTTTCTCGCATGTCTCAGAAGCCACAATAGAGCACACACCTGCATACAAGCATATACACAACACATCCCCCACTCTTCAATAAGGCTTATGATAATTTAACTGTGGAATCAAACAAAAAAGGCAGTTTTTGCCTTACTACTAAGTTGAAAACACATAAGAACTCTAGACCTTAAGATGTTAAAGTCATAAAGTAAACCTCTGATGATCTGTTTGCCAGGTGAGTAAAATCTCTGTTAATCTCTTTGGCTTAAGCCTGAAGACCCTTATCTACTTCCAGGGGTCCTTCTGAGTCACCACCACAGGTTGATGAAAGAAATATAAGCTAGATTTAGATGGAACATTAAATCCTCAGTTAAATTTGAATTTGGAAAAGAATACGAGTCATCTCTCTCACTAAAGTTAATTTTGACTCCCTTTGTTATTTTTCACATTTGGCTAATGAAATTTTCCATTCTGTTCATTTGAGACCCAAGAAAGCAGCATTGCCAAATCAAATAATCACTAGAAAACACATCTGTAGTCTACACCCTGAAAATAATTTTATCTGAAATATGATGGACAATAGAATCAGAATGTGTGTCTGCAGGAATTTTCTTAAAGACAAAAACTCACTTTCTGTGCTGTAGGATCCTTCCCCTACCCTGTCAATCCATTCCTGATCCACTGAATTCTTTTATTTATTTTTTTTATTGATTTTTTTAATTATTACAAAAGTTTATTTTTACATCATTTTGCACATTTTTTTTTCCATCTCGATGAATTCTTTTATTTTTTATGTGAAGTGTTTGCATCTAGCACACACTCAATATCATTTGTTAGGTAAATAAAAGAAACAACTCAAGGGGCCTCCCTGGTGGCACAAGGGGTTAAGTCGATGAATTTATGAGCAGCCACTGAGGCCTGAGTTCAATCCCCGGCCAGGGAGCTGACCCACAGGGCACAGCAGACCTCTCCTATCTCACCCTCTACTCCCCTCAGCAGTGTATTTCAGTATATCTACTTGTTCTGCTCCCCACAGTCTCTGGTGAATCCCCTCACCTTCCCCACTAGGCTACATCCCAGTTCTTGTATGTATAAATAAATTAAATTAAATTTTAAAAAATAAAGCAACTGAAGGGTCTACAGCTGATTTATTCTGTAGACACAAGCGAGTAACTTCTGCTCCATCTTCCTGCCACAAGCCCTTATCAATAGCAACACAAGAGCTCCTCGAGTGAGGCAGCCTCATTTTCCTTTGCATTTAACTACTACTGACTCCCTTGTGAAAAGCCTCACGTTCAACCTATTTTCCTTTCATAACCCTCATTTGGATGTACCCACACTTTAGAAATCTAAAGAGGGTAGGGGGCCTCCCTAGTGTCCTAAGGGTTAAATCTCAGCCCTATCACCCTACGGCCTGAGTTCCATCCATGGCCAGGGTGATAACCCACGAATTCCTGTCTTACCCACTACTTCTAGAGCAGTGTTTTTCAGTAAATCTACCACTCTGGTGAATCCTCTCAGCCCCTGAACCTCTGATCTATACTCCAGTTCTGTGCAAAAGTAATTCAAAGAATAAAGAAAGAAGAGCTGACAAAAGGATATTTTCCCACTGAGAGTTATTTTGGTAAACTTAGTATTTTCCCATGAAAACCATGTTATAAACAGTAACCAAGAAATAGAGAACTAACATATTTACCAGGCAAGTCTGATTCCCCTTTAAAACCCTGCCAGGATGGTGGGCATTAATCACTAGCCTGTGGACTGAGGAAAGCTGTGGCTCTCACAGGCTGAATTTCGCAATGCCACACCCCTGAGCTGCATTGCACACCATTTTGACTAGGCGCAGTATATTGACTTTATTAACATTTCTCTGTGACTTTAAGCTTACAGAATACTATGCATACAATATTGCCATATCACAATGATAAGGTAGGTATATTTGTTCCCATTTACACAGGAGGAAACTCCAATTGCATCAGGGCTTCGCTCCTGAGACTTCAGCAAGAAAAATGTAAGAATGTGGGGGGTGGGGTGAGGAGTTGGGGTGGTGCAAGGTAGATAAGGACTGGGTGTCTGGGGTGAGTGTTCAGTGAGTGAGACTCATTGTATTTCTGCTTCAGGGGTCATAAAGGAGTGATGGGTGGCCCCAATCAGAACAGAAGCCAGCTATGTTCTTGGAGGGGATGTTCCTGATTCACAGCCAGGAAAAACACCTTAGTTATTTCTTTCAAAAATACATCACAAGTGGGACCTCCCTGGTGGCGCAGCGGGTTAAAAGTACAGCACTGAGAGGCTAAGGCCACTTCAGCATGAGTTTGATCCCCGCCTGCCCCGGGGGTGACCACATGGCGCGTCAGACCTCTCGTTTCGCCCGCTGCTTCCGTCAGCAGTGTACTTCGTCAGTCTGCCTGTTCTGCCCCCGACTCTGTCTCTAGTGAGGGCTCTCACCGCCCCTGCACCTCTGGCCTGTACCCCAGTTCTGTATGGATAAATAAATCTTTAAAAAATATATATACATACATTGTAAACTGCCTTGATTTGCCAAAAATAGTAACTACCTAAGTGCACCAATTCTCCCATTATATACTTGAGTAACCCCGTCTATGCACTACAAGTAAAAATAATATTTTTCTTTCAATATATATTACCATATTCCTAATATTTGAACTTGTTTTTCTGACCCTGGTCTAATCCTGTCTTTTAAATTACATATGTCAAAGAAAACTAACATGAAGTTTCTATATTAAGCAACATATTTTAGTACCATTAAAAGGTAAAGTGTGAAACATGTATTTAGAGATGAGGTTATTGAGCAATTTTCCTCTTTGCCTTATCAAGCTTTATATATTAGTCTCTTGTTACTTCTTATTTTGACAAAATTCTTCAACATTTTGATGTTTGAAATTAAATATTTTATAACTTGCTTTTTTGGTATACTTTGTTCTGTTTTAAAAAAATTCACTACACAGGATATTTAACTTGAAAGAATACAGAAAATAGACTAACAGTACATACCCATGTGACAGACATCATGCCATGCTTGGGGACTCTTTAACTGGTAACGGAATATTTGTGTAAAATTCACAGGTTTAATTCTAAACCAGATTCGAAGTCTAGCCTTCAGGCCTCCCGCACCGGTTTGCACACCCCAGCCACCCATCAGTCTGCTGCACACGTATACGCTCCTTTAACGTTAGACACCCTTCCAAACAGTGACGCTGTGATTCAAAAAGTTCGTCTCCTCCCGGAAGTCTATGACTTCTGCTGCAACCCTGTGTCAGTTAGTAGTCATTTCACTGTGCAGGTCCTCACTTTTCACCAGAGGGACTGCCTTCCTCACCCAAACTTTAAACAGACAAATCGGGAGTTTCCTTCCCCACTGCACAGCCCGCCCTCCGGTGTGATGCACATTGTGTGAGACACCAGGATGAGGTCCCCAGACACATGTGGAAAGAGCAAGCGCTGATCACACTTACCACTTGATCCACCTGCTGGTTATCAGCTGGTGACAGCAGCCACTCAATGTCCAGTGGTCCGTGGTCTTCTGAATCAAGGGTAAATTTGCATGGTAGATATGCAGTTTCTCCTTTGGCCTTCTCAATCATCTGCTCCGGAGTAGTAATGTGCAAACTTCTGGTGAAATCTAGAGAAAGACCGTACGCATCAGCCAGGAGCAAGCTCGGCACACCCAGACATCAGGAGGGCACAGGGTGAGGTGGAAAGAGGCCAAGATTTGGGCCCATCATGATGAGTTCAACCTCAGCTGGGCCCACCCTGTAGTTTGTCTTTTTAAGCATGGATAACAATATATTAAGAGCTATCTTATACAGCACAATTCTCTTTAGGAGCACTGTGAATTTCCCAACTTTCTATCCAATATTAGCTTCGTTCAGGACTGTTTGAGGACCTGGCAGCGATCCCAAACACTATTTTGGTCCACAGAGACTGCCTCACACTCCCTTCTCATGGTGCCACTGTAAAAATAAACCCCCTAGAGCAAAACCGTACATGTATCTGAGTTCTAATTAATCTAATGACTACTCAGATGCTCTTTTCAAATAAGAAATTCCAACAGAACCAAAATGAAAAAGTAAAAGGTCTGTTCAGACCTAAAAGCTTTAGCACACATCAATTATTAGTTGTAATAGTGTTAATATAAGGTGATCAAAATTTAAAAAAAAAGAAAAGGAGAAAAAAAAAAAAGTCCAGGTTACACTGAAGAGCATTTATTTTCAGGCACATCCTGAGTTTTATCAACATTTAAGTGTGCCTCACATAGGAGAGGCCGCCTCCCTCCAAGCAGAGACTGGCCTCACTTCAGCCAAAGCCTGAGCCCCACCGCGCAAATTCCGAGACTCGGCTTCAACAGACCCTGCTGCTCCCTCTTGCCCGCGCAGACGCCTTCCACCCGCGACCACATCTACACACCACGCAGGAGAGAAGTGAGGTGTCTGCCAACAGGTGCCATTGCCAACACTCGGTGAGCAGCGAACTCACAGCCCGGCTCACACCCGCTGTCTGCAGCCCCAAGCGTGAGCCTCGAACGGCTCAGCCTCCTTAAACTGGCAACCAGCATCAGGAACTACACGGTTTTTCTTTTAAAGCCTTTAAAGTTTGGTTTCATGCTGCAGCACCCAAGCCTACTGATTTGACCAAATGGGCTACTTAGCCAGCCTGAAAGGGCCCTGACTGTGCTCATCTCCGTTCGTGCACACATTTCTCTTCACAATTATGTGATAACTATATGTGTGGATAGTCTCAAATGTTTCTCCTGAATTAATTTAACTCTGAATACCTTCTATCATTTTAAATAAAAACCAGTTCTTCTATGGACCTGTTCAGTAAGGCATTCTTCTATTTCTCTAGCTATATGGTTTTGCCTTTTCTCTTTCTGTAAGTGCACACAGTGCATTTGGCACTTACGCTGTAGTATCTTGGTTTTCTTTTTTTTTCCTTATTAACATTTTTCTGAAGTTGGCTGAGGTAGGCTCAATAATTTTGTCACATCTTCTAGATGTCAATGAGTTTATTCTTTCCATACACATTGTATATTTAAAATGCACATCCTCATTTATCATTAAATCATTACCTTCATTAGTTGCAAGAAATTGTGAGTATCTGTCTCCCTCTCCTGCCTTTGTATATTAGTAGATAAAAACTGGTGACAGGATTATAAATTTGATCAGTTTTAGAGACGTTGAAAAGAGCATTAATCTAATAACCAGGAAAAGGTTTTGCTACTTGAAGATCATCTTTCTATAGCTACTAGAATTTGTTGCCTGCATTTAACCTGTCTGGTTGCTATTACTTTGTGTGAGAAGATTATAACTTATTATAAGTATACTCTGAAATGAAAAAAAATGGAAAGAATATATAAATGAAAATGAAAATTGCTGTAATAAATCATTAAAACTTTTTGGTTACTCTTGCTTCTGGAGCTTTTATTTTTAAAAAATCATAGGAAAAGCTAAACAACAGACATCTAAATGTGTTCAAGCTGAAGTCCTTCCTCAGAGTATCATTCTTTATTGTTTGATACACTATCTTAAAAGAGTACATTAGCACAAATGATGTAAAAATAAACTATTATATTATTAAAAAAAGAGTACCTTAGAAAACAGTTACATATATATGTAAACATAAAATACATTATTGTATTTCTAACTCATGTATAAAAATGAGTTAGGAAGATAGCTACTATACTTTAAACAAGTTATTTTTGAGAACTGAGATTTTTCAGAAAGGTGACTGCCCATTTCTGCTTTGTGTAGAGATTTCATTTATAAGTATAGTTAAAGAAAATTTAAACCAATGTCTTAAAGTGGTTTTCAGCTTTAAAAAAAAAAAAAAGTTTAAAACATCCATTTGTTTTTCATTGTCTTTAAATGAAAATGAAAATCTCAAGATCATATAAAACAGTTATTGAGTTCCCTGGCAATACTGTGTGGCTTCTCTGCAGAGACCTGGTTTCTAAAGTTGTCAAGAAAGTTTAGATGCTCTGTCTCTAACCTAAGCATGGAGATAACAGGAAACTATTTCCAGAAGGAAGGCAATGTTTTGAACTGATGTTGATGTACAGTCACAAATTGTGAAAGACAAAAACCAGATATTTGTTCTAATTCATTGTCTGAGGAGTTTTTCCTAATATTGCCCAATTTTATTTACACAGCGAATTGAGTGATAATTTAACTTGCAAACTAGCATGACAAGTAAAAATATCAAACATGGTCTGACAAATAACAAACCTTATAATAGGTACAACTGTGGAAAATTTTCAAACTTATACTGGTCATGATAAAAATGTCACATACTATCACAGTCCTTGATGAGTCCAGTTAATAGATGCTCACTCAACACTGGATTATATAAATAAACTGAATCACATCCCATTTTGGCAGTAAATAAATTAACACTTATTTCTGTTTGACTTTTTTATTCCAAGTTCCAAATTACTTGGATCTTTAGAACTTCTCTTCTGTCCAGTCTGACTTCTAGGCATCAAAATGATAGGAGTTCACAGTATTTTGCAAGCCACTGACATTGTCAAGAAGGTTTAGATCCTCTGTTTCTAACCTAAGAAGGGAGATAACAGGAAAGAAATATTTCCAGAAGGAAGGCAATGTTTTGAACTGATGTCCTATCCTACTTCTTCGAGGTTAAGTTACATGTTAAACTGGATGGTGTTTAGCTCTTATTTCCGTGTGACAATCTTAAAATCATAAGACGTTAGGAAGTGTTCATTAAACTATGGTTAGTATAAGAGTATGTGAAAATTTCTAATGGTTTCAGTAAAGAAAACCTTAGGGAAAAACAAAAAAAACACAAAAATTATAAAGGAGACATCAACTTAACTATTTTTAGAATTTAAGGTCAGTGAGTCACTAGGTAGATTACATTAAACACTTGGGAGCAAACAAAAATACGGTTTCAAACATATTTTCCACTTTCTACCTATTACTACAGTAAGAAACAAAACATGAACTCTAACCAGTGTTGGCAATATGCATAGGGCTTTAAAGATCATGTCTGAGTGTGGAATTCAAGCAGTGACAGGTGAGATCTTGTTACCTGGGTACAAAGAGGGGCACGAATCATGAGGTAGAAAACTATATAAACAGCCTAAGATTTTTTTTTTTATTACAAAAGTTTATTTTTACATCATTTTGTACGTTTTTTTTTTCCATCTCGATTGTAATCCCCGCGGGTTTCCCCATCACCAAATCACCCATGTGCCATCACCATGATCCCATGCATTTCTCTCCCCACCCTGTTTTTGATCCCATTCCCCACTCCAACCCCACAAAATGTGGGGTTGTTCATTATTTTTGTTATTTTCTCGCCTGGTCCATTATACTCCTGCTATGAGTGAAACCATCCGGTATTTTTCTTTCTCTTTCTGGGAACAGCCTAAGATTTTTTTTTAAAGATTTTATTTATGCTTACAGAACTGGGCCAGAAGTGCGGTGGGTGAGAAGATTCACTAGAGATAGAGTGGGAAACAGAATAGGCAGATCTACTGAAATACACTGCTGAGGGGAGCAGCGGGCAGGCCAGGTCAGGAGAGGTCTGCCATGCCACGTGGGTCAGCTCCCTGGCCGGGGATTGAACTCATACTACAGTGGCTTCCGAGAGCTTCATAGTGTGGCACTTAAATTTATTGAGCTTCCAGGGAGAGTAATGGCCTAAGATTTAAGTAACCAGCAAAGTGCATTATTATAACAAAATACAGCAGCCACCAAGCAATTCTGGGTGCCTAGACAAAAACAGTTCAGAATTCTGGAATTTTTTGAGGGAAGAGAAACAAAGCAAATCTCATGGGCACAAGTACCTTTGCAAGAAAATATACAAGCCCCAATTTGGCTGAAGTTTTGGAAACAGATGGTGGCACACATGGACAGTATGTCAACACAATAACGTCCTATGAAATACAGGTATGTGACCTGTGAAATATACCTCTGCAAACTGGTTTTTAGGAATTAAGGTTAAACTCTCGCAAAAGCTATTATGTACATGAATATCATTCACTCAAGCACTCTGTATCAGGGAAACATGAAAGTAAGTAAAAGTCCCAACATCCTAATGTCCAACAGGAAGAAATAGAGTACAAAATCCAAGCTCATCTGTTTGAATACAGAGGTGGGGCAAAGATCCGAGGCCAGAACCAGTAAAATGACTAATTCCTAAAGTATGATTTGGGTTGGGAAAAAAATCAACTTTAACTCATATAAACAACTTTAACTCATATAAGCATGACTAAACAGTGCCACCTTCAGGTTTAACTGTTCATCTGGCAGCAAAGCAGTCATCTAATCAAATTAGGTTTTTCCAAAATATCACTGTAAACATCTTAATAATATACAAACATAATAATACTTTTTGTAAAATCATGTTGAAGCCCTTACCCCTTCCCAAACATGTAATTGTATTAGAGATAGGGCCTTTACTAAGATGATTAAAGTTAAACGAGGGGGCCTCTCTGGTGGCCTAAGGGTTAAGTCTCAGCACTATCTGATGGCCTGAGTTTGATCCTTGGCCAGGGAGCTGACCCACATATGGTGCAGCAGAACTTTCCTGTCTCCACAGCTGCTCCCCTCAGCAGTGTATTTCAGTAAAGCAGTGTATTTCAGTAAAATCCACCAGTTC